TATGCAGTATCAGGCCAGCCCTCCTTCCTGTGCACCCCGTTCTTTGTGTCTTCCACGAACTTGTTCATGAGCTCCACCAGCTCCTCCTCTGTGATGGTTTCACTTCTGAACTTCTGCTGCAGTCCTGGGCTGCAGTTTTTAAGTGATCTGAGGCTCACTATGCTAGACACATTGACCACTCTGCCTAAAATACAACACAAAATGTTATGGAGAAGGACAAAGAAAGATGAATTCCAGTTTCGCTAAGATTTGGTACTAGAAAATTTCCACTGAAGTATCATGAGTTTGCTGTGAGCATTAATGAAGACTGTCTGCATGAGTCAAGGACAGGACGGTCCTAAACTTGTTATACCCATAATGTCTCCAATGATGCCTGAGAAATGCTCTGGTGGGGAGGGCGCCGAGCAGATGCTCCACAGGAAATTGGAAATGGCTCCTATAAGAACATGCTCACAAGGATGAATGTAGGCCTGAGAACCTGAGTGACATCTCTGTGGCAGATTTGCTCATGTGATATGGACTGAACCAACTGTGAGTGACCAAGTGGGACTCTAGCAATGTGCCAGCATCTCTTGATTCTTATTTTTCTGTTAGATTTGCTACTGCACTGTGACGTGGTGTCACATTGGACTTCTTAGTAATATTCAACTACCATTTATAAACGAATCATATGATGCTATGGAGAGTGATGAGCAAATGTACCGGAAGACTGAGTAACCGTCTGCTCAGGATGTAATACTGATGGAAAATGACAAGCCTGATGAAAAACTGGATTTACCTGTCAGCTAATTTCTATACTGCTAAATTAATTAAACAAGGAGGCCATTACTTTGCAGTGGCTCTAATACCCTGGTGGCATATGTAGCAAACCAAAATCAATGCCTGTAAATGCCTCAGACTTACAAAACTGAAACCTAAGGACGACCGATCACAAACAACCAACTAAGCTTGAAGTTACATTCAATCGATAATTTTCTTCCTTCAATTCTGGGTTTTTCTGTATAATAGTCCTTCCCTGAGCACCTGTCGATGGAGCATTGCTAACCACTTCTGGTTTTGTGCTTCCTGATCCAAATACAGTTGAACCTTGACAACCCAGGGATTAGGAATTGCTGAATCCCCATGCAGTAGAAAAATCTACATTAACTTTTGATTTCCCCAAAAGTTTACTGATAGTTTGATTTTGACTGAAGGTGTATCCATGACATAGTCGATTAACATACATGATGTATTTTTACAATAAAGTAAGGTAGAGAACAGGTTAAGAAAATCGTAAATAAAAGAAAATATATTTATAGTACTGTACATATGCTTATTGAAAAAAATGTGCATATAGGCAGCCTGAGCAGGCCTGGGCAGAGGCAGTGGTGTGGGGGCCTCTCCAGGTGACAGCAGGCCTGAGGGACAGTAGAGCTGCCTCATCTGCCTGGAGATATACCACTGGCCTGTGGCCATCTGTGGCACATGTAAGTGTGCAGGCCTTCTGGAGGCGATGGGGAGGGATCTGCACCTGGCCTGGGCAGGGCGTCCTGAGGAGAAAGAGAGGCAGGAGGAGAACTATGTGTGTCTGGGGCTCTGGGAATGTTCTAGGCAGGTGACAGAGTTTAGGGGACCCTAACAAGTTTGGATAGGGAAGAGTCCACTAGCCTGAATAAGATCACTCAGAGGGGGGGAGAGGGAGAAGGAAGGGTCCAGGAAGAAATCCCCAGGGAAGTGCACCTGTGAGGACACAGAGCCAGAAAAAGGCCTCTGGGAGGGGAGTTTGGAATGAAGACATAAAGGAGAAGCAGCAGCCAGTTGTGAAAGGCCAGTGGGACAGAGGGCACTGCTGAGTGCTGGACACGTGTGTACAGAGTCCTGAGGGGAAGGGCACCTGTCCAGGTGGGGATACAGCAGGGAGGCCCGTGTGGCTGAGCAGGGAGAGGGAGCAGGGCCCGTAGATGAAGTCATAGAGGCAGTGGCAAGATCATTCCAGAAACACCACTGCCTGTGTCCCTTGTCACACCTACCTTGGGGTTTCATTAGAGGCAGCAGTTCTGTGCACACGTCTCGGGTACCAAAGAAGTTTGTTTTCATCGTCACTTCTGCTTGAATATGAAACGGTGTCGGATCATTAGCTTTCAGGGAGAAAGAGATTAGCGTTAATAGCAGCCATGTGGTAAAAATTCCACAGAACGGCATATGAAGGAAAAGTGCATGTGAAATGTGGTGAATTTTTTGTAAAACTGGCCTCTAGTTCATAGTATTGTGCCAATAACAATGTCCTCATTTGACAAGGTTGTAGAATGTTGTAAGATGGCACCATCTTGGGGAGGGTGGGTGAAGGGGGCACACACAGGATCTGTGTTCACCAATTTGTGCCATTTTCTTGTTTATTTCAAAATGCATTAAAAATCCACCCAACTGCCCTAAAATCCAATCCCAGAGAAACCCTGTGACAACCTGGAAAGAATCCGAGGAGTCTCAGGAAACACAAACGTCACTCTGGATGAAAAAGCGCTGTGATTCCCCCTGGGACTTGGCTCCAGCCCCACCCCTCTCCCCCATCCCTCCTTCAGCCCTAACGGAGCCATTTTGGACGCCAAAGGCGCTGAGAGCCCCACCGCAGCGATTTCCCCAACAGATGCAGCCCACCCTGGCTGGAGGCGCTCCGTGGTGTCCACCTCCCCTGCGTGCCCCCACCCCCTTACTCTTGAAGGCGATGCCCGCGTTGTTGACCAGCACGTCCAGGCCCCCGTACTCCTTGCGCAGGAAGTCGCGCATGGCGCGGATGCTCTGCAGGTCGTCAATGTCCAGCAGGTGGAAGCGGGGGCTCAGTCCTTCGGCCTGGAGCCGCTGCACTGCCGCCTGTCCCCGCGCCTCGTCCCGCGCCGTGAGCACCACGTCCCCCGAAAACTGCCGGCACAGGTCGCGCACGATGGCGAAGCCGATGCCCTTGTTGGCCCCGGTGACCAGAGCCACGCGGGTGTGTGACGACATGGTTGCGCGTGGGGTGCACCAAGGACTTGCGAGGGGAGCGGACCTTCAAGAAGGCGTTCGCGGCGCTCGGTGCCTCTGGAGTTTATGCACAAAGTTCGGCGCGCCTGCGCAAGGTTAGAGGGCGCTAGGGGCGCGCGGGCGGGACGCACCTCCCCCTTAGGGCGTGGCTTCCCGGGAACCTCCCAGGGGTGGTAGAGAATGGGAAGGGCCGGTGGGTGGCAGAGGCTGGTTAGGTAGCTGCCCGCCTGGCAGCGGAGAGAATCATTCTATTTGGCCATGTCCCTCACTGAGTCTAAACTGAGCCTGTATCCCTGGTTCTCCAAGGGTTTTTCTTTGTAGCCTCTCAACTATTCAACCATTGACTTGTGTAATTCAACAAATAGGGCATTTGTAGGGACTCTTTTGTTTGTTTTTCCGGGTGAGGAAAAAAAATCTCTTGAAGTGTTTGGAACTATAGTTGCGGAATAAGCTAGGAGATCAAGTGTGTGTTGTTTTCTTCCCTAAGTATGCGAAAGCAAATCTACCGGTTTGTCCTTGGTTGGTTTTCACATTAGAGTGGGGAACAGTCACTAAATCGTTACAGGGTTACCTCCCTCGACACTTGCAGGGTCATCAGGTTACTTGTATGCAGGTTCTGCAGTGTACAGGTGGAAGGAGGGGTTTGAAGCCCTTTCTTGCATTCAAAATAACTTGTCAGGGTGCATCTTATTTTCCCCATTTTATTTTTTATTATTTTTTTTAATGTTTATTAATTTTTGAGAGAGAGAGGGAGTGAGCGGGGGAGCAGCAGAGAGAGAGGGAGACACAGAATCTGAAGCAGGCTCCAGGCTCTGAGCTGTCAGCACAGAGCCTCGTGCGGGACTTGAACCTGTGAATCCGGAGATCATGACCTGAGCTGAGGTAGGCCACTTAACCAACTGAGCCACCCAGGCGTCCCTCCCCATTTTAAAGCAAGGAAATGGATCCTAAGAAGTTCATAAATTAGGTCAATGGTGGGAAATGAATTTTCTTTTTTCTTAAAAAATTTTTTTAATGTTTATTTATTTTTTGAGAGAGACAGAGACAGAATGCGAGTGGGTTAGGGCAGAGAGAGAGGGAGACACAGAAGCAGAAGCAGGCTCCAGGCTCTGAGCTGTCAGCACAGAGCCCGATGCGGGGCTCGAACTCACAATCCGTGAGATCGTGACCTGAGCGGAAGTCGGACGCTCAACCGACTGAGCCACCCAGGCGCCCCTCTTATTTCTTATTTACAACAGAGGAAAAGGGGACTATGAAACCAAATCTCATTTCTGCACTGCCTGGTATGATAGCCATGAGTGGCTATTTAAATGTAAATTTAATCGAAATAATACAACTTAAAATTCAGTGCTTAGTTACATTAGCCATATTTCAAGCGCTAGTAGTCACATGTATTAGTGGCCGCTGTTTTGGATAGTGCAGATCTATAGTATCTCCATTACAACAGAAAGTTACAAGCAGTGCTTTAGATAGTTTCCAATTATGTTGCAAACAAGGTGGGTTTCCAGTTAGTTGCAAAAAACAAACAATTTGGGAAACACCTTTGCTTCTTTTTGACCCAAATTTTTATTGAGATAATTGCAGATTTGCATATAGCAGTAAAAAAAGATACAGAGATTCCTTACGCTTTACACAGTTTTCATCTATGGTAACATTTTGCAACAATATCGTAGGATATCATAATAAGGATAGTCACATGAAAACAATCCATCAATCATATTCGGATTTCCTCAGTTTTACTTGTACTTATTTGTGTATTTGGATCTATACAATTTTATCACATGCTTAGGTTTGTCTGTCCACCACTAGAGATGTTGAAAACATTTCCATCAGCACGAAGATCCCCATTGTTGCTTTTTTATAGCCAAACATCTCTCTGTTGCCCACCCCCGCCTCCACTCAATTCCTTGGGAAGCAGTAATCTGTTCTTCATTTAAAAATTTTATTGTTTCAAAAATGTCATAGAGATGGAGAGGTGCAGTGTAACCTTTGGGGATTTTTTTTTTGTTTTCACTCAAGATAACTAAGTGCTTTGTTTTGGATTTTCTCCTTTATCAAAGTGTATACTTGGTCTGTCATTTGCTGGCCTCCCTCCACACCACTCCCTACTTTCTTCTATACTTGGGGTGAGCCAGTGTGAAAAGGAAGTGGGATGAATTAAATTCACTAAATTAAGCCACAGAGATAGTACATAGTGTGCAGGGAACTTTGGGCATGGTAAGAGGCCTGCTGTTTCAAAAGGCAAAACAAGAGGACCATGAATCATATTTTCTGCCTGATTTGTTTATCCCTTTGGTACTTGTACCAACACAAGACTTGATGGCCAATGACGCAGGATGCTCAAGAAAATGCAATGCATAAAATATCACATGGAAATATGAATTTAGCTTATGATGAAAGTGGTATTAACAATTAAGGGGGTAAGAAAGAATTATCCCCAAAATGATTGCATAAGGTACACTGATTAATTTCTAACAAGACAAAAAAGTGCTTTCTCACTTTTTAAATGTATATAGTTTTATAAATGTAACCATAAAACAAGTGTAAGGAAAAATAACTAAAATTTGTGGGAAAAGGACTTTGTAAGCATAAGAACAGGGGAAGCATCACAAAGGAAAGGACAGATTTAAGTATGGGAAGTGTTTTGAAACTTTATTTTTTTGAAAAGCGTGCTAATTTAAAGCCAGTGAATTAATTTCTGTTTTGATGATTTTTATCTTTTTTTTCCCTGTCACATCTGGGTCTTGATCCTGGTTGTGTATTTGCGAGGTCACCACCACTTGCCATACATAGCACCTTGTCTGACCTCTGAACAACTTGAGAAAGAAAACACAAGAGTAAAGATGAAGGCCCCAGATCTCTGTTAGTACTGCTGATGTTTAGCATGGAAGATACCCGTTAGTTGTGAGTCAAGTCTGAGATCATCCTGGCTGCTATATGGAGAGAGAATTTTTATCATGTCTTTTAATGTGTGGAATAAATCCACATCTTTACTACCCACTGGTTCAAAGCAGTTGTTCTGTCCTAAAGTACCCAGTTCTATGGTGTCTACGAACATAAAAGATGTAGGAAAACAGTATTGTTAAATGACAAGTTATGAAGCTCTTAGGGTCTTCCCCTGCCCACGATTATTTACCCTCACAGAACTCTGACACTGGCTTTCCTTCTTACATTCTAAGCTTATATAGATGTTCAATAAGCCTTCTTAAAAGGGTGGTGCATGAATTTTAATTCCCGGAATCAAATTGTGACTGAGCTGCTTAGGAGATATGAAAATCTAAGCAATTTACTTAATTTTATCAAAGATAAACAACGCTGGATACTGGTTAAGGTGGTAAGGACAGATTTTAATCAGTAATATACTATTGAAATGGGAAATTGGGTCCAGCGTGAAATGAACTTAACTTGGATTTGTACAGAGGTGGCTGAGTGTTTTAAAGGGAGAATAAGGGCACAGAGAGGGGGAATGGAGGGTCAGGGAAATGAAGAATTACCAAGAGTGTGTTAGTGTAAATGCCATTAGGCCAGCTGTGTGGGCTACACAGAGACTGGGAGACAGAGGCCCTATCTTTTCTGATGATTACGTTTCAAATCCTTAGGAAAGACACTACTGAGTTGTAAGAGATAGATTTATACCTCAAATGGACAGAGGAAGGACTCAAATTGTGAATCCTTTTTAGTAAATCCTCTAATAAAGGGTGCTGGAGGGCCCATTATCAACGTTTATTTATTTTTGGGACAGAGAGAGACAGAGCATGAACGGGGGAGGGGCAGAGGGAGAGGGAGACACAGAATCGGAAACAGGCTCCAGGCTCCGAGCCATCAGCCCAGAGCCCGATGCGGGCTCGAACTCATGGCCCGTGAGATCGTGACCTGAGCTGAAGTCGGACGCTCAACCGACTGCGCCACCCAGGCGCCCCAAGGGCCCATTATCAATTGTTGGTTAGAACAAACAGATATTCTTTTCGCAGGTATAGAGGGCTAGGATCGCCTTAAGGATGTGGCTGTGAGCTATTAGAAACTAAGTTAATGTTTGCTTTTTGAAAATATAATGCTAAGTCTTTTAATTTGTGTGTGTAGGGGGCAGGTAGTGGATGAAACCAGTTGTTCTGAGTTTGTACTTTTCATAGGCCAGGGTTGAGGTCTCGTTGAGAAGCAGCCTCAGAGCAGCCTGGCTTGAGTTTGCTGAAGGGGAGCATCTTTGTCAATTCCCATCTAGAAAAAGGTAGTAGACATTATTTTCCTCCCTCATGAAAGGAAAATACTTGTTTCACGTGATCCTTTTCTTCCTGTCTTGAATGCATTTGTGTGAGATCGTGATGCTGGAGCTGCAGAAAAACTGTCTTGACACCATGAGGAAGCAAACTACAGGTGAAAATTAGAAAGAGCCTTGATCCTTGATGATGGCATGAATCAGATTCAAATCTGAACCGACGTTTTGCGGTCCCCCTTTTACTTTTCAATAAACGTAATTTTAGAATGGATTTGCTGCAAAGTGGCAAATGTACTAGAGAACTTCCATGTACTCCTCATCGAATTCTATTATTAGAATCTATTATTGGTCACAAGGAAGCAACATGGAACAGTAGTATTGACTAAGCTCCGTGCTTTATTTGGATTTTACTAGCTTTCCCCTTAGAACCCTTTTTCCTTTCCGGGATGCCCTCCAGAATGCCGCATTACATGTAACTGTCATGTCTCCTTAATTTTCTCCGCCTAATGAGAGACTCTCAAGAGTTCACTTGTTTTACACGAACTTGACAGCTTTTGTCAATGTACATGGTCGGGTGTTTTTGGGTTTGTCTAGTATTTTCCGCAAGGAAGAACTGGGGTTATGAGGTTTCGGGAGGAATACCAGAGATGAACTACCCTTCTTACATATGGTGAACGCAACATCAACATGATTACTATCAATCCTCATCACGTGACCAGGGAGTATCAGCCAGGTTTCTCCACTGTAGTTAATATTCTCCCCTTTGCACAATGTACTCTCTGGAAGCAAGTCACTAAGCATAGATGGCAATCAAGGCGGGGGAGGAGGCAGAAATTGAGCTCCATATCCAGGAAGGATTTGAACTTCGGTAAAGATGGTACCCGGAGAGCTACTATAAAGAACGTGAAGTGGGGCGGGACTAACCGAGTAAAGGGGCGGGGCCGGGTCGGCCGGGGAAGGGAAGGGCGGGGTCAAGGCAAAGGTTGGCAGGTAGGGCCTGACGCTGTCTGCTAGGACGCTACCTCGGCCCGAGTCGGTGGATGGAGGGACCAGGCGGGGCCTGGCGGCTTTAGGGGCCGGGTCGGGACGCACGCCGGAGGAGGTTCGTCCCCTCTATTAGGGAAGGAAGGACTCGGCAGGCCAGCTGTATGGAGCTCAGATTCCCTGCCCGGGGACCGCAGGGTTTTCTTACCCCTGACCCCGGCGCCGCGGGGCGGGGAACGGCCGTGGCGTTTCCGGGAACCTGGGCGCACGCGCACGCGAAGGCGCAGGCGCAGTCGCACGCCAGGAGGCGGGGGCTGCAGCACCGCGGGTCGCCTGAAGACTTGGGTTGGTCAGGACTCGAAGCGGGCGTGGCTGCTCGACCTCTCCGTGTGACGCTGGGCTCTTGCCTTAACCCACGTTTCCCTGGGGCGCTGATTTTGGTTTCCTCGTGCGGTGTGCCCGGCGCCGCCGCCGCGAGGTGAGCCGGAAGGCCGACGGGGAGACGGAAAGCGGTGAACCCGGGGTCCCGGTCCCGGGATCGGGGAGCGCTGGAGCTCTCCGTTTGTTTTCACTGTTCGGGGTGAAGAGAACAGCTCAGCTCGCAGACCCCCACCAGGCCTGGCGTTACGCTGCGACGGCCGTCACCCCCGTCACCTGGCCATCCCTCAGAGGGTGTAGCCCCTTCAACCGCGGTCGAGTCGCGCTGGGGGTGCGCGGGAGCCTGCGGCCGGGAGTTCGTACCGCCGGGGCCGAGACCCGGCCTCCCGTGCGAGTCCGTGCCTGTGGGAGCGAGGCCCGTGGCGTTCGTCGCGCTGTCACCCGGCGTCCGGGTGCGGGCGGAGCGCTGGGCACCGGAGGGGACGGGCCGCGGTTGGCCTCGGGACTCTGGGTAGATCGGCGAGCCTTCCCCCGCGGGGGTGGGGTCGCCGTAGCGCCAGGACTTCTTCCTCGTTTCCGTCCGGTGTTTATGAGTCGAAGAGTTTAAAAGCAGTCGTGTGGTTACGCTGCATACATATGCCCGCCCCTAAGGAATATTCCTGTTGTGTCACTTATGTGTTGAGACATATGTAAGGCAGAGGACAGGAGGCTGCCAAAGTAATAGTAAAGGCCCCCCTGCCCGGGCACGTCTTTGGAATAACCTTCCTTAAATCCTCTTGTTTCGTAAACGTACAGGATGCGTCAAAAGCCAACCCCAACGGGATCATTGAATGTTCTGCAACTTTATTTTTTTCACTTAATGTATCTTGAACACGGTGCATACCTTCCTCTTATTAATGGCTGCATAATACTCCACTGCATTGTCTGTTTCATGCTGGTGTGCTTAATGGATTTCATTTTTTATGCTTCCAAAGAAGTACCATGTAGAAACTGCAGTGGTCATTTTTTAGCAGGAAAATACCATTTTTAAAAATTTAAATTCACGTTAATTAACATATAGTGTACTGGTTTCAGGAGAATTTAATGATTAATAATTTAATGATACAGGAACACCCAGCAAGTTCCCTCCTTAATGCTTATCACCCATTTAGCTCATCCCGCTGTCCTCCTCCCCTCCAACAACCCTCAGTTTGTTCTCTGTCTTTAAGAATCTCTTATGGTTTGCTTCCCTCTCTGTTATTATCCTGTGTTTTTCCCTCCCTCCCCCGATGTTCACTGCTTTGTTTCTTTTTATTAAAAAATTTTTTTAATGTTTATTTTTGAGAGACAGAGACACAATGCAAGCAGGGGAGGGGCAGAGCGAGAGGGAGACACAGACTCCAGAAGCAGGTTCCAGTGTCTGAGCTGTCAGTACATAGCCTGATGCGGGGATTGAACCCATGAGCCAGGAGATCATGACCTGAGCTGAAGTTAGACTCTTAACTGAGCGCCCAGGTGTCCCCATCTGCTTTCTTAAATCCCACATATGTTGGGGCACCTAACTGGCTCAGTTGGTTAAGCATCACACTTCACCTTAGGTCATGATCTCAGGGTTCTTGAGTTTGAGCCTTGGGTCAGGTCTGTGCTGACAGCTCAGAGCCTGGACCCTGCTTGGGATTCCGTGTCTCTGTCTCTCTCTCGGCCCCTCTCCCCCTTTCTCAAAAATAAATAAACAAAAAATTTCCACATATGGAAATCATTGTTGCAATTGGCAAGACTTCATTCTTTTAAAAAAAAATTTTTTTTAACATTTAGTTATTTTTGAGAGAGTGAGAGAGACAGAGACAGTGTGAGCAGGGGAGAGGCGGAGAATAATGGAGACACAGAATCCAAAGCAGGCTCCAGACTCTGAGCTGTCAGCACAGCCTGATGTGGGGCTAGAACCCACAGACTGGGAGATCATGACCTGAGCTGAGGTCGGATGCTTAACCAGCTGAGCCACCCAGGTGCCCCAAGAGTTCATTCTTTTTGAGTGCTGAGTAATATTCCAATAGTCAGTGTAGATTTCACGATCATTTCCTTGTTTTGTCTGCCTTCTTGGTGGTCATTTCCTCTGTAATTTGTTGCAAACTCCCATTTACTTCTATTGATTTCAGGATCCTAGTTCTAAGAACAAATTATTTACTTCACATTGAAAGAGCATTTAAAGAAAAACAAAACTGCTTAGAGGGAGCATGTGTGTGCGAGTGGGGAAGGAGTAGAGAGAGAGGGGCAGAGAGTCCCAAGGAGGCTCTTGGCTGTCAGCGCAGTGGGGCTCATGAATTGTGAGATTATGACGTAAGCTGAAATCAAGGGTCAGACTCAACCAAGTGAGCCACCCAGGCATCCCAGAATGTTTTCTTTTTTCCTCTAAGACTTAGCTTATAGAAGCTTTATGGCCATTGTTTTTTCCAAGTATGTTAGGTTGGTGCTTAGTAAATGTTGATTTGAATTGAGATACATAAGTTACCAAAGCACACAGTGGTGAAATAGTTGAGGATTTTGACGATTAATCAGCATTTAGTAGGACCTTAACATAAAACTGTTTCAGAGGGAGCAGTATAATGGGCAGTCCCTTACTGCATAAGGAATGATGATTTAGCTTACAGTATAAACGGTTTGTGTACAAAAACACCAGAGAAATGGTTTAGCAAATAATATAAGCTTGTGTATTCAAATCCTTGTAGGTATAAAGAACAGTGCTTATCATACAACTGGAAAGAAAGGCAAAGAAAAAGCTTTTATATTAGATTGGGCACCTGAACAGAAACTGCAGTTTTGATATGAAGATGGGAAGAGGAAGAACAAGCCGGATCAGAAGACGGAAACTCTTCAGAAGTTCTGTATCAAGAGGAGGTACAGTTTTGATCTTTTGGTGCAGTGATGAAGAAAAGGAATCTTTTGTTAATTGGTATTAACAGACACGTGTGTAGCTTTTCTCAGAGGCCCACGGGCAATGTTCAAAGAGAATATTAATACCTTTTTTAGGAATACCATTATGTTCTTTTAAACTCTTGTGGGAATGTCAGTGTATTTCTCATTGCTTCACCTGTGTCTTCTCTGGGAATGACTCCAGGTTTCTGTTTCCAGTCCTGACCTTTCTCTTGACCTAGAGCTACCTGTAGAATATCAGCGTTTGGATGTAAATTCATCATTTCAGATTCAGCATAACTGAGTCTGAGCAAGACATTGTATGTGGAACTGCTTGGCCAACAAATGCAGTTGTTACTTTTGATAAAAATTAATAAAACTTTTCCTACTTGATCCCAAGCCTGTCAGCACCATCTTAGGCAATCTTTTCCAATTTCTTTCTTTGCTCTCTCTCTAGCTAGTGTCCTACTAAATCTTGTCTAGTTTTTGTTAGGTAGCTTCCCCCTCTCCCTTCTACTACCGAAAGATGATTTCAGCTTGTTCTTTGCTGGATTAACTACACCCTTGTTTTTCTTCCCTGCTTATTTTTCCATTTGTTACTCTCAGTCTGATTTTCCTAAGGGACTATTCTCATGGTGCCTTTTTGGTTTAAAAGCTTCCAGGGATCCTCGTTCCGTTTTGCATGATAGATGAACTCCTCCTGCCTAACGTTACCTTCCTTACGAGGGGGCTTCACCCTGCTATTGCATGTACCAGAAGTATGTTCTCCACTCGCCTCTCCCTGGACACACCCCACATATGTCTGCCTCTGCCGTTCCTCTGAATCCTTCTTCAGTCTAGAACAGCTGTTTTCCTTCTCCTTGCTTATTCAGCTTTTCTCCAGCCTTTAAGACTGAGCTGAGGTCTTATTTTTTTGGCAATGCCATTTCACTTTTTACTAATGTCACCCTTTGCTAAGATGCTTATTGGGTGTTATTCTTAAAGACCTACTTACTGGTTTTTTAGTTGTTTCTCATGGAGGTCTTATTTCCCAACTAAGCTGTCAACTTTTGAGGTTGAAGAACATGTTGAACATTCCCCACTGTTTCTAACATAGTGCTCTGTATATAGTAGTTGCTCATTAAATGCTCACTGATTAAATGCTCTTACTGTAAAATCTATTCTCTAGTTTATGGTAACATATTTTGGAAGCCTTATATTTTGGATGGTGTTTTTAGAAAAGTTTTATTGAGGTATAATTGACATACAGTGAATGCCGCATATCAAGATAATGGACATATCCATCCATCTCAAGAAGTTTCCTCGTTTCCCCTTGTAATCCTTTCCTTTTGCCCCTCTTTAACAACAGCCCCCATCTAGGCCACCACCGATCTGCTTTCTGTCACTATTGATTTATTTGCGTTTTCTATTTTCATATAACCATATAGTATGTCATATAATAATATATAGTATTTGGCTTCTTTTACTTAGCATAGTTATTTTGAGATAATTGTGTTTATCAATATTGTTTTTTATTGCTGAATACATTCCATGATTTGTTTGTCTTCTTGATGTACATTTGGATTGTTTTCATTTTTTTTTTTTTTTTTTTGCCTGTTAAAAATAAAGCTGTTAATGAACATTTGTGTACAGTCTTTGCTTTTGCATGGACACATGATTTCTCTTCTCTTGGGTCAATACCTAGGAGTAGAAAGACTGGATCATATGATAGATATATGTTCAGCTTTTAAAGAAAAAGAAACTGTCAAGCAGTTTTTCAGTGTGGTTGTATAATTTCCACCAGCAGTTAGTGAGAGTTCCAGTTGCTCCACATTTTTGCCGACATTTCTTATTGTCTTTTTGATTATAGCCGTCCTAATGGGTAGAAGTGCTGTCATATTGTGGTTTTGATGTGTATTTTCCTAATGACTGGTGAGCTTATTTGCTATTTACATAGGCATTCTTTGGTAAACTGTTTAGATCTTTTGCCCATGTTTTTATTAGGTTGTTTTCTTTTTCATCTTCTTTTTTCATTTTGTTTTCTGGTTATGGTAAGAAAGGCATTCTCTTCCATTACATCTTCTATCTGGCTCTTTTTTGTACTTGTGATGGCTGTTGATTTCTACACCTTGATTTTTTATGACATTGTGTTAGTAAATTCTCTTCTATCTATCTTTTTGCACTAGTATTCTTTTATTGTTTTTTGAGCTGAAAATGATAATTTTTATTTATTTATAGCTTATTTAATTTTTAAAATTCCAGTACAACTAATATAGAGTATTATACTAGTTTCAGGTGTACAATACAGTGATTACACAATTCTGTACATTACTCAGTGTTCATCATAAGTGCACTCTCAATCCCCATCAACTATTTCCCCTCCACCCCGCCCACCTCCCCTCTATAACCATCGTTTGTTCTCTATATTTAAGAGTCTGTTTTTTTATGTCTTTTTTTTCTTTGTTTATTTCTTAAATTCCATGTATGAGTGGAATCATATGGTATTTGTCTTTCTCTGAATGACTTATTTCACTTAGCATTATACTCTCTAGATCCATCCATTTTGTTGTAAATAGCAAGATTTCATTCTTTTTTTTTTTTTTTTTGGTCGAGTAGTATTGCAGTGTGTGTGTGTGTGTGTGTGTGTGTGTGTGTGTGTGTGTACCACCTCTTCTTTATCCATTCATCTTGTCAGTGGCCACTCGAGCTGCTTGCATAATTTGGCTATTGTAAATAAGGCTGCAGTAAACACAGGGGTGCACATATCTTTTGGAATTAGTGTTCTTGTATTCTTTGGGTAAATACCCAGTAGTGGAATTACTGAGTCATATGGTAATCCTGTTTTTAAAAAATTTTGGAGGAAGCTTCTTACTGTCTTTGTCAGTGGCTGCACCAGTTAACATTCCTACCAACAGTGCATAAGTGTTCCTTTTTCTCCACATACTCACTCATACTTGTTTTGTTTATTGTGCTTTTGATTTTAGCCATTCTAAAATCACAGGTGTGAGGTAATATATCATTGTGGTATTGATTTGCATTTCCCTGATGATGAGTGATGTTGAGCATCTTCTCATGTGTATGTTGGCCATCTGGATGTCTTCTTTGGAAAAATGTCTTGTTTTCTTTTTCTTGACTACTGAGAGTTCTTTAGATATTCTGGATACAAGTCTTTGATCAGATAGGTGTTGTGCAAATGTTTTCAATTATTCTGTGGCATTTCTTTACATGCTCTTAACAGTGTCTTTTGAAGAACAGAAATTTAAAATTTTAATAAAGTCCTCTTTATCAATTTGTTGTTTTAGGGATCTTCCTTTTGGTGGTATACCTAAGAAATTTGTATAACCCTGGGTTGCAAAGATTTTCTAGTATGTTTTCTAGTAGTAGTTTTGTAGTTTTAGGCTTTATATTTAAGTCTGTGATTAATTTTGAGTTGATTTTTATAGATGGTGCAACATAGGAATAAGTGCATCCTTTTTTGCTTATGTAGATCCAGTTCTTTCAGCAACATTTATTGAGAAAACTGTCCGTTTCCACTGAATTGCTTTTGCACCTTTGTAAAAAATCATCTCTTCGTATATTTGTGAGTCTGTTTTTGGATTTTCTTTTCTGTTCCATTGGTTTCTTTATTAGTCTTGATGACAGTATTACATAATATTGGTTACTATAGCTTATAATAAGTTTTGAAATCAGTATTTCAAAGTGGTTTTGACTATTGTAGGTCCTTTGCATTTTCATATGGCTTTTAGAATCATTTTGTCAATTTATACAAAATGTCTGCTTGAATTTTGATTGGGTCATATTGAATCTATAGATCACTTTGGGGAGAATTTGACATTTTAACAATATTGAGTCTTCTAATCCATAAACAAGGTATATTTCTCCATTTATTCATGTTACTGACTTGAGATCTTTTAAAAAATTATTTTTAATTGTGATAAAATACACATAACTTAAAATTTACCATTGTAACCATTTTTAAGTATACTCCAGGAATGTTAAGTACATTCATATTGTTGTGTGATGAATCTCCAGAACTCTTTTCATCTTGTAGAACTGAAAGTCTATACCCATTAAGTAGTAACTCCTCATTCTTCACTCTTCCCTAGCCCCTAGCAACAACCATTCTGCTTTCTGTTTCAATGATTTTTCATCAGGTGTGTAGGTTTTTTGTTAGATAGTCTTCATCAGATTCAGGAAATTTTATCCTTGCCTTGTTGGCATTATTTACAGGAATGAATGTTAGATCTTATCAAATGTTTTTCCTGAATCTTTGAGGTGACCATGGTTTTTCTTTTCTAGTTCATGTTATTTAGTCATATTTTAAAATTTATTCTCTTTTATAATAGGACTGTGTGAGACCATTACTTCTTAAATGGTGATCTGATTACATATTGATCTTATTCTCCATTTTTTCTTTTCTCTCTTGATTAGTGAATGAGAGCTACAAGCCTGAATTTATAGAGCTTAAGAAGTGGCTGAAAGATAGAAAGTTTGAAGATACAAACTTAATACCTGCTTGTTTTCCAGGTAAGGCCTGTTATTCAAGTCTCATGACTTTTTTCACATGAGAGACGTGTGGGCCCAGGTGATAGGAAAACACGTGTAGTTCTTAAAGGTGGTCTGTATTCTGTCTGGGAGCACATCTTCTGTTGTGTGTCAGGCTTCCTACTTTGTAGCTGTCATATTTATTTATCCTTCGCCTTCTTTTAAAAATAAGTTGAAGTGGCTTATGGGGAGAAGTTCCCAAGTGGTGAAATAATATCAAAAATTATAAAAGGAAAATGAGCATAGAAAAATAAGGTGAAGGCAGGGATAAGAAAATACATAAAAGCCCTGATTCTAAAATCTTATTGTACACCTGGGAGGTGAGCCACAAATTTGACTTGTCTTTCCAGTGGCCAGACACTTTATATGATCAACACCTGAGTCTTTGTGTTCTGTAAAGAAAATTAAATCGTTTACGTGGCAGAAGTGCAGGTATTCCTGGAAGAGACCTGAAGGAAATGTCTTTGCTGGGTCTTCATAGGGAAGACATTTATGTAATGTACCTGGTGTCCTTATCATCATGCTTATGGTGGTTTCATGGGATTTTTCAAGCCATGCAGGCTGATGGGATTATTCCATAGCTCAGGTGAGTCAAAACAGTTTTCTAAGAGAAGGAGGTTCCAAACAACCAGTGGAGGTGCTCATTCTCTGGTGGTGTGGCTCGAGGAGAGGAGTCCTTAGGAAAGCCTCAGCTGGCTTGTGGCTGTGCTCCCCAAGTGTTAGAGGAGGAGCCCTCTGTGTGCCTTCTGTGTGGCCGTAGCTTTAACAGTCACCTAAGCAGATGCCAATTAACATAATTTTCTGAAGTTCAGGAGCTTGATGTGGAGTTTGGATTAGCATTTTCTTCTGGAACATTCTCTCATAGAAGTTGGCAGCTTGCTCTGGGTGTGTGCCTGCATACCACCAATTCCATCCAGAAGTGGGCTTGAGATATCCGTGGAGAGGACCAAGATGCTTTTCGGAAGGATTCTGGGTCTGGTGTAGCATAGAGACTGCTGTGCCGTCAGGGCAGGTACAGCACACTTACCTTACAGAAAATTAAATCGTATGCCTCTTGAGTGCTCCTTTTGGCCACTGAGATGATTAAGTAGCCATTACATAATTTAACTTTGAGCGGATTAACTTCCTTATACATCACCAAGATAAATAATTAACCACGTGTGGGCCTGGTTGAATGAGGTGATGTGTGTAGTTATTCCCTGTGCGTCAGTTACACATGGTGACTTTGGGCTAAAATACTTGCCATTATCTGTTAGGACTACTCCTATTTAAGACGGTAAACCTTTTTTGTCAGGCTCTAACGGAATGTTGAACTTTCTGTTTTTGTGTGTCAAGCACAAAAAATAGTAAAAGCCATGCTCTTAGATTTGACTGGATGGAGTTCTTCACAAGATGATCAAGAGGACATAGTGTCAGGCATGGACTTGTGCCTTTGGCCTGTCTATGCCTCAGATGTCTCTTTGCCTTAAGAAGGATAGGATTAAAATTACCAAGCAGGGATTGGCATATGCTTAAATGGGATGCCTGAAAATAAGTAATCTAACTATAATTTAGAGCGGTAAAGAGTTACCGTTTTTAGTGGGAACAACTGTCTCTGGGCCCACCTCCAGATTCGTGGTCACAGAGAAGCTAAAGCAAAACGGTTTGGTAATGATCAGAGCCCACTACTTACATTTCTAGGGGCAAAGAACCTTCTGTCTTAGTCAGTTTGGGCTGCTGTAGCAAATTACCATAGACTGGGTAGCTTAAACAACAATTTCGTTCTCACAGTTTTGGGGCTGGGAAGTCCAAGATCATGGCATGGGCAGATTGAGTGTCTGGTGAGGACTGATTCCAGGTTTACAAATTGCCATCTTCGTGCTGGGCCCTCACGTGTTGGAGAGCAGGGAGCTAGACAAGCTTTCTGGTCTCTTCCTACTGCTGCCATAGGCACCAAGTCCCATTCATGAGGACTCCATCCTTATGACCTAATCACTTATCGAAGGCCACACTTCCTAACGTCCTCACATTGTGGGTTGGGATTTCAACATATCTTCTCTAAATGCTTTATATATCTTTAGCTCTTAATCTGATGGGAGGGAACATTTGTGGGAGTCTGTCCAAGTGTACAAAATTCTGGGGACTTAATCTTGGTTTGTGGAGGGGCAAGGCAAGACTCCTCAGTTGCAAGCAGGATTCAGTCTTTAGACTCTCACCTGATTTGAGTACTGACTCTACTATTTCCTTTTGCCACCAAAAGCACTGGCCAATCTGGGTCTCCCAGTTAGATTTATGATTGCAGAAATTTTAAGGTGCTGGGAAGTCTGTAATAAGCTTTACTTTTATAAGATCCTAATGGCCACCTCCTACCTTGCCTTAGTAAGTGCAGGTTTCTGTGATTTGTTTTCTGATATTGAGCGCTATGTTGTAGAAATACAGGCGAAGTATCTCCCAGATTTATTTCATATGCCAGGTTCTGTTCGTATATATATTTGAAGAGAGATTTCCACTTAGATTACTATGCGGGTCTTTTAAAGGATGACCTTGTAGAAAAAAAATCCTCCCATTAGTAATTGGTTCCAGGAAGGGTTCTGGCCTACAGGGGTGATTAACTCTGCTGTGGGACATACAGAAGATATTTAAATAAGTTCTTAAAACCAAATACTGAACAGAAAGTATGCTTCTGGGTGGGGAGATGAGTTATGACTCGTCAAATCAGACTTGGCAGACCCCTGGTCCAGGACTTGAGGAAGAAGATCCATCCATGAAGTAGGAGCTCCTAGTAGTCCTGCAGGGATTGACCTTTGCTGAATTATAGTCCCTCCGAGTGGAGAGAAAAAGATGAGGAAGTATGAATTTGAAAAGATGAACGTTCTGGACCTCATAATAATTATAGGTCACAGTGTACCTAGGCCTGCCAGAAAAGCTGCTGTCTGTCTGTTACGGGAAGGCAGCGTTTGGCTTGGAAGGGTTAATTTCTGGGTGTTGGTGGTGTTGACAGTGCAGCTGGTGAGATTACTTGCTGTGACTGCTCTGGCCAAGGCCTTGGTTCACAGGGAGGAGCTGGTCCTGGATTGCGCCTGCTGAGCTCACCTGGTCAAGGAGAGTCTAATGGCTTTCGTGGTCGGGGAGGGGAGGGTGTTGTCTGCAGTCTTTGTGGGACCTGAGTGGGTTTTACTGGCCAGCCAGTCAAAGAGGCCTCAAGATCATCGCTGGAAAGCTGGTGCTGGTAGTGGGTAAAAGTGGTTGAGGGTCCAGCCTCTCAGCTTGGGTGGGCATCAAGAGCGGGCCCCCAGCACGGCTGGTAGGTCCCCGGAGAGAGGGTCCAGTTCAGAGGGTCCTGTAAGAGACACCTCAGCAGATGTGTGTAAAGTCGATTATCTTTAGGTCTTGACTCTTTGCTCTTCAAGGATTATAAATGCAAAAGGAGGTCAGGACATTTCCCAGAACAGCTCCTTGATCCTCTCTCTCCCCTGGGAGCCAAAGGATGAGAGGTGCCCAGCTTCAGCTTTATGTAATTTTGAAGTTCAATTGCATTTTTTTTATTCAAAATGATATCCCTGAGATCTTGAAGATATCATAGGATTTACCCTTTTTTTTCTTTTTGTGTCTTAGGTACAGGAAGAGGGCTGATGAGCAAAACATCCTTGCAGGTGAGAATTTCTCTTTTCCTTGACGCCTAGTATAGATTTTGCGGCTTTGTTTTTGTGGTTTAGATCAAGTGAATTAAAGATATTTCAGACACACAGCCATTTTTTACCTAATAATAGGTTTGAATATAACTGTGTCAGGATTAAGTTTGCTGCATATAAGAGACAAACCCAAAGTAACAGTGCTTAAACAAAGTAGAAGTTTATTTTGCTCTCAAGTAAGCAAGCCTGGATAGGCAGACCTGGGCACATGTGGTGGTCCCAGGCCGTTAGAGGCCCAGGCTCCTTCCAGCTCTCTGTGCACATCCTAGAGGAAGCCCTGCACCCTCAGGTCCACGGTCTAGCTCTTGGAGCTTGAGCAGCAGCATGGAGCCAGGGGGTAAGGAAGGGCAGGCTTCCTTCTTTTAAGGAAATCCCAGCCCCATTGCATCCACAGTGACTGGGTGCACAGCCCCGGCTGGCTTCGAGGGATGAGAGACGTGTCCTTTCCCTGGCACCTCCAGATACGATTAATGGCAGGAGGGGAGAAGGCACATTAGGTTGGCAGCTAGCCATCTCTGCCACAGCAAATTGTATAAAGCAGGTCATATTTTAAATGTGCCAGGGGAGGAAGCCACACTTATCTGAGAGGTTGTGTGTGGTATATGAGTGCCGCCTGAGGAAGCAGAGGGCAGAGCCTCGGAGCTGGTCCCAGGGTGCAGGGTGGCCTTCAGCTTAAGGCCCCCAACCCCTAGCCCCCCAGCTTGTTTCCTCACCTGGAAAACAAGGTAGATGACATAGGTGATCCCCCAGGTCCATTTTAGTTCTTTCTGTTCTATTTAAAGGACATCCAATGCATGATTTTCTGTAAGGCTAGAAGTTAATTCCTTAATTTATTTTTAGTTCCTTATAAAATCCAGCTGTGTACACATGTTTGGCCTAAAGAGTGTGGTACCATTTAATGTATAACTCTATTATGGTACTTTCATTTTTTTTAACTTTAAAGTTTTACATTGTGGTAAAATATATATGACAGAATTTACCATTTTAGCCATTTTTAAGTATACGGTTCAATAATATTAAGTACAGTCACATTGTTGTACAATATTTTTGTTTATTTTTTTGAGAGACAGAACAAGTGGGGGAGGGGCAGAGAGAGAGGGAGAGAGAGAATTCTAAGCAGGTTCCACGCCCAGGATGGAACCCTACTTGGGACTTGATCTCACAACCCTGGGACCATGACCTGAGCCAAAGTCAAGAGTCCGATGTTTAACTGACTGAGCCACTTAGGCAGCTCACAGTATTTGTATTTTTTGAGAGAACATATAATTGACTGTGCTCTATTTCTGGAGGAGAAATACGCCTCATGTATAAAGCAGTAAATGTAGGTCATCTTTTTTAGATTCTGAAATGATAATTGGCAGTTGCTTCACATCTGCTTTCAAATATGGCTTTCTGTTCAACTTTTTGAATATTAGGGATGTATTTTACACATAGTGAAATGCACAGATTTTAAGGGTCTAGTTTGTTAAGTGTTGATGATGATGAGATTTATTCCAGTCAAGATACAGAGCATTTTATTAAGTGGCTTTTTGAAATTGTGGGCTGTTGGAGTAGGAGGGGACTCTAGGGACCGTCCAACTTGATCTTCATTTACATATATTGAAACTAGAAATTGAACCCAGAAGATTTTTGGCTGAGACTTTTAACCAACTTAGATGCCAGTTATAATGAAAGCCAGGATCTTAATTAACATCAGCCTTCTTAATGCTTTATTTCTTCCTGGTGTCTGTTACTTGACATCTTAATCTTTCTTTCTGTGTTCCTGTCTCAGTGGGCAGAAATGAAAACTACACTTTTGCGGGTAGTAAAATGCGATCCTTGTGCGGGTGGGCTGCCTTTTCTTTATCTAGTTGGCACAGGTGGTATGGAGAGTAGGCCGTTGCTGGGACCAGTCACTGGATGCACACATTTCGCCAGATGGAATGGTTTCTGTCGTTTCCCACAGCTAGCACTGTTCCCTGGTGTAAGAAAGTGAAGGAACGATGCGATGTGAGTTGTCAAAGTGTTTCCATATGCGCTGGTGAAAGGCTGACTGCTAGTGGATGTCAGTCAAATGAGTCACCTTTGATTGTTGGGTTGCGGTTCCTGCCATCGGAGCAGTCTCGCCTGCATCCGCTGACCCAGGGACGTGGGAGCCAGACCGTGGGTTCTGGTGTCCGTGGTTGGGTTTTGCTGGGTTCTTAGGAGGCGATCATGGACTCAAGGACTTCACAGAACTTGTACTCACAGGTCCTTCTCAAAGCGTGGGTGTTCTAAACTTTACTTTCTTTTTGGTAAGGAGGGACAGGTGATTATTTCGTTGCCTGAGAGTTGCCTGCTCACCACGGACACAGTGATTAGAAGCTACTTAGGGGCGTACATCACTAAGTAAGTGACCGCACACATGATTGTCTGCTCAAGTGCTTATCCTCTCAATTCCACAGCATCAGCAAATATGTCAACTAAGGCCTCATTCGTTAGGACCACCCCTTCATACACCTCATACACGTTTGTTCTCTGAAGTTTGTTCTTGATTCATTTTAAACTGCATTTTTAAGGTTTTTAATAGGCTGCCTTGGATGTGGGTTTGAATCCTGATCTATTACTTACAGAAAATGAAGATAAAATGGAAGAATAGATGTAAATCATTCTGAGTACCTTGACTCCTCGTAGCCTATTCTCCTCCATCGTAGTAGGTCTTGACAAATGTTACTCTTATTTTTCCCTTACTGTACATGGTTGAATTCTCTTTCAACTATGAAGAGCTGTTGACATTATGAGTTAGTTTTGTTTAGCAGAGAAGAGAGAAGGCCAAAAAAGGAGCTGAGAACTGTTTTCTGGCTTTTGTTATAGGAGGCCTTTGTTTTGGGGGACTTTTATGAGGACAGAGTGAGCAAGATCCTTAGCAGAAGGGGTTTCTAAATTATGAGGGTTGAAAGATTATGTTGCTTCTTAATCCAGGGTAAATTCTGGACTTTTAATCTCCTCCACATGTTTTTCTGAAGGCAAATGTATCTTTATTGACCTGAGTAGAAGCAAGGATACTCTTTGTATTAACATTTTCTGTATCATTCTGAAATTTTGAGTAGGATAATTGGCAGTGTAGAATCTGGACTGTGAGATTAATGAAAACTTTTCTAAATACATTCATGCAACATGTGATCTTTTTATTGGTAACAAATAAAAATACTGCAAGGTATAATTGGTAATAGAGTGGGTAAATTTAGGAATTAAAACGTTAGCAAATACATAATGAGTTTCTTGAATTTCTGTCTGGGTTAGTATCATGCAGTAGAGCTTTGCAGTGATAGAAATGGGTGTTTCGCTCTGCCTGGTCTAGTATGGTGGCCATTACCCACATATGGCTATTGAGTGCTTGATATGTGGCTTACATGATTGAGGAATTGAATTTTAAATGCTACGTTTAATTAAAAAAACTAAAACTGAAATAGCTATAAGTACTCAGTGGTTACTGTATTGGATGAGGCAGGTCTAGATTCTTTCCACCCATTTTTTCCCTACCACGTTTGATACGCTTAGCCAAGTGAATTAAGTGAAACGGAGCAAAAGCTTTAAAACTGGAGAACCAAGTTGGAAGCAGAGAAGCTGTTTACAAAAAGGAATCCCTAAAAACAAAGCTGGAACTTTGGGTTAGTGAGTCAGTTGTCGCTTATCAGTGTGACTTCTTTGGGGTACTTACATCAGGGTGCAATCTGGAGAGGAAAGTTTGAGGAGGCAAGAGACCCCCTGTCGGGTGTGTCAGATAAGCTCCGAGTGTAGTCACAGTTTGGCTACAGTTCCTCTGGGAGCAGAAAACACCACTGGGATATCTGTGTCTCTAGCTCCTTCCATATTTTGAATAAAAGTAATTCTTTTAATCTGCCTTTTAATAATTTAATAATTTAAATTATGTTTGGCTTCTCACTTTAACAGATGGCGGCCTCCTCCATCTCCTCTGCTGGCTCTGTGTACCTTTCTGGTTTCAGAAAAGCATGCTGGGGACCAGTCCGTCTGGAAACCTTACCTAGAGATTTTACCAAAGGCCTACACCTGCCCCGTTTGCTTGGAGCCAGAAGTGGTGAATCTTTTTCCCAAACCCTTGAGAGCAAAGGCTGAAGAGCAGAGAGCCCGTGTGCGAGAGTTCTTTTCTTCCTCCAGAGGCTTTTTCTCTTCCCTGCAGCCTCTGTTTTCCGAGGCCGTCGGGAGCATCTTTAGCTACCGTGCCCTCCTGTGGGCCTGGTGTACGGTCAACACCAGGGCCGTGTATATGAAGCCCAGGCGGAGGCGCTGCTTTTCTGCGGAGCCAGACACCTGTGCGCTCGCCCCGTACCTGGATCTGCTGAACCACAGCCCCCGTGTGCAGGTGAGCAGTTGACGAGGGCGCACATTCTGTTCGGACAGGAGGGACTCTGACGTGTAGAACCTGTGACTTTGAAACCATAGAGAGAGGTGTTGTTGGCGTTAGGTAAACCTGCCTGCCACCAGCTAATTTTCTGTCCTTTCTCCCAGCCCCGTTTTCCCTTCGTGGCGTCCCTTTTTTTTTTTTTTGCTGTGTTTTCACCCACAGCGCTCAGTGCTGTGTCCCCTGGATGACCTTAACCAGCAGCCCCCCACGCTCACCTTTGGTGCAGCATCCTCCTTCTCCTGCCAGCGTGAGGGCTGAGGTCCAGATTGCTGCCCTGTTCCCTCTCACATGTGGTGGCATTGCTGTCAGCATTGACCTTTGCCACGATCACTGACTGACTTACGACCCCCTCCGTGAGCTGTGTGAGGACGGGGACTATGCCTTGTTCTGCCCTGTAACCACAGTACTCGTTGCGGGGCCGGGCACCTAGTGGGCATTCGATAAACCTTTACTGAATGGATGGATATCTGTGGGGAAATGGAGTTGGGGAAATATTAAAGAAACCCTCTTTGGGAGGTAGTCCTAGATCTCGTCCCCAGCCCTTTCCCCCTGTGGCACGTAACGGAGATGATGATGTTTGTAGGCTTGCTGGGGTTAAGTGCCTGGCTTCGAGAGCAGAGGTAGCCACGTGTCAGCTTACCTGTAACCTGCTCAGGGTACACTTGAGATACACTGGCTGGGCCCTTGCCCATGCTGTTCTCTTCATACTCTACCCCATATGGAGAAGATCGATGGCATCTGGTTAGCCCACATGCCAGTGAGAGGAGAGCGCTGGGAGGCCTGTACTATGCTTTCTTAGGCCGAGGCAGTCTCCTTGCCTGTCTGCTTGTTCTTTTGTAGAAATCTGCGTTTCTGGCAGTATTAAGCAAAGGAGGTGGAGGTTAGATGGGTGTGTCTGTGATTGATGTCAGTGAAATAATGTTGGGGGCATGCAGTGTAATAGGATGCTGGACACAGGGACTGAGTCCTCATTGGCGTGACTTTATTTGTATTGGGCTGTTAGTGCATTTGTGCTCTAAACCAGGGATTTCACAGCCAAGTGTAGGGGCATCACAAACTACGGCCTGTGGGCATGTGGCCCCAGGGCTCTGGCAAAGCCTGAAATATTTGCCCTCTGGCCCTCTATGGAAAAAAGATGGCGGGTCCTTGGTCTAAAGAGTTGCAGCTGGCTTTTGGCCCATAACTCGAGACCATAGCCCTCATCTGTTGTGCGGCAAGCTGGCAATTTCAGCCTGTTGCTGGTCCTTGCTCTCACTGAGATTTACTGCTTAGTATGGAGGCCTCCGTGCCTGTACCCACTCCTTATTGTGGAGAGCAGGTAGGTCATCTTTTCCTTTCTCATCTATTAACTAACAGAATTGTCACAAAATCCACGTGATTGTGTCAACCGATACCTGCTGCTCAAAGGCTGTGAATTGTAAAACCTGAAATTCATGTGCTGCCTTGATGTCTTTGGGTCTCGCAGGGCCCCCCAGAGGCTAGGCTGATTTCCCCGGCTCTCGCTGGATATGCACCCCACCCCCCGCGGTGGCCCCATCAGCTAGACTAGAGCACCCCACCTGGCCTCAACCTAACGGGTTTCACCTTCCCGCCAGCCCTTGAAACTATTCAAGCAAGCAGTCACATCTTCCCATGAGAGCCAGGGGGTCACCTCTCGTTACTCCAAATCCTGCTCCCCATGGCCCCTGCTGGTCACACTGCTCCTGAGTATAGCCCCCGGTTAGCCCTGTGTGGCTGGTGTGTCCTTATTGCTGTATATGTGACTGGTAAACAGCTGTCAGTCTTACCTGTCCATTGTCAGGTGTCATGTGTGCAGCCATCCCGAGAATCCTCGGGCAGGACCCTCTCTCTTATGGAGGGGTGACGTGGAGGCAAACAAGAGGCCCCGGTGTAGGTGTGGCTTTTTCCACGGGTGGTTAAATTCAGTGATGAGTGTTTGAAAGGTGCATCTGCCATAAATTAATACAGTAACTTAATATTTTTAGTTGTATGCTTGGCTTTAAAAAAACTCGAACAATTTTCCTTTCTAGGTAGAAGCAGCATTTAATGAGGAAACTCGCTGTTATGAAATTAGAACAGCGTCAAGCTGTAGGAAACATGAAGAGGTGTTCATCTGCTATGGCCCTCATGATAATCAGCGACTGCTCCTGGAGTATGGATTCGTTTCCATCCGTAATCCTCACGCTTGTGTTTATGTCTCAGAAGGTTGGAATCAACTTTGTTCTTACTAAGATGATAGAACTCTTTTTTCCTCCCCATCTTGGGATATAGTTTTTTTAAGTTTTAGTAAAAATGGCAAAACCTTAACATATATACCATTTATCTTCCCTTAGATAGGGCCAGTGAAACAACAAAGCCTTCATCGATATCGAGGATAGGAAGAACTGAGAAAAGTTCTGTTGGGTTAGGTCGGACAGTAGAACAGAAGAAAAGGAAAACCGCTGAGGAAATGAATATAATATTGAAAAGATGAGAAGAAATAGAAATGTTTGTACTGAGACATTGTCACTGTCACTAAATACAGGATAGATTGGAGAGCAAAACATAAGAATTTATTTAGGCACCTACTGCGTGAGGCACTGTGGTAATCACAGGAATAGATCTTTTACATAGTCCTTATTTTGGGGTGTTTAATGTCATGATGAAATCTTGATTTCATTTCTATTTTTTGCGGCCTACTAACTAGCCATCATTGGTATTACTATTTAAAAGAAATAATTGAGCTATTAAATTTATGCTGTGGAAATTCCAAATGTAATATTAATAACAGTACATAGAAAATTGATTTCTTCCCTTCTCTTGATGCAGCAGAGAAATAGTTTTCTAGGCTATGAAGAAATATGGCCAGAGGTTTACTGAATGCATAATTTGGGATAGTTTTAAAACAAGTTCTGATGGAAATGGAAACTTTTGTTCAAGGTGAAACAACTCCATCCTGTAGGCAGAATAATAATATTATTTCTCAAAATAGAAATAAAAAAGCAAAAACTGGGCCTTGCTGGGTCTCTTAGAAAACTAGCTTTGAGATTAACCTCCTGTTATCAGAATAGCTTTAATATTGATGACCATGAAATATTAATTTGTCAGTTTTGAACAAAGTTTACATTTTAGTTATTTTTACATTAAAAAATAAAAGCATACAAATATGAAGGGAAAATTAAAAAAATGTTTTTAATGTTTATTTTTGAGAGAGAGAGAGAGAGAGAGAGAGCGAGCAAGCTGGGGAGGGGCAGAGAGAGAGGGAGACACAGAATCCAAAGCAGGCTCCAGGCTCCAGGCTCTGAGCTGTCAGAACAGAGCCCAATGCGGGGCTTGAACTCACAGACCACGAGATCATGACCTCTGCTGAAGTCTGACGCTTAACTGACTGAGCCACCCAGATACCCCAAAAGAGAAATTTTAAAAACAGAAAAATCAGGCATTACCCTGTTACCCCCCAAAACTTTAATTTTTGCATGTTATTGCTTATGATCACAATCACAAATATCCAATTTTGAATTCTGGCTCTTGAAGCCTTTATGTTCCAAACAATTCCTGATGTTTGTACAGCTCCTGCGTTTCTGGTCAGTGTAGCTTCCCAGCATCCTGCCACTGTCCTAACGACCTGGTTTTGTGGGTTCATTGGCTTAGTGGGAACATGCGTTGAGACTGTGGATGTTTGGTCCCTTGCCCTAGAATTCTTGTAGCTTTTCAGGGGCCAAATAAAGATTCGTTGACTTGGACTCCACTGGAGCTTTTCGATGTGAATTAGGTAAAACTGTTCACACACGTCTTGATTGTTGAGAAGGTAGAATAACTTTAGAAGGTGCGCATGTCTGTCGAATGGCACCCTAAATTTCATTCTGATCTTTTTATTTTATATAGATATACTTGTTAAATATCTTCCATCAACAGATAAACAGATGAACAAGAAGATTTCCATTTTAAAGGATCGTGACTTTATTGAGTGAGTGTTTCTTAAAATTATTCCTTCAGGAAACTTTGATGAGAAAATGGAGGGTAGGGTTTCTGTAGGTCTGAGATACCTCCTGACTTGTTCCAGTTGACAGGTAGGTATTTGCTGAGCATTTACTGTGTGTACTAAATCGTGTTTGATGCGGGCACACGAGAGTGTAAGATACTTTTCAAGAAGATTATTTGGGAATATAAAATACAAAGTTGAAGTATTAAATGATCGAACCAAAAGAAAGCCCTGTTTATATCGGTTGGGAGACCGACGTGCCTTCAGCACGTGGTCAGGTGGGATGGCATCGGGCTGCCGCAGGCCTCGCTGGCCCTCAGTCACCCTGCGGCGTGCTGCAGGCATTCAGGGAGCAGGGCTGGCGGGGGCGGCTAGGTGATTCCACACCAAGTGGGATACACAGGGTTCGAGGCTCTCCTCTCAGATTTTCTTCTGTAAATGAAACCAAGTTTGAAATGATCCAGTAGCAGTGTGAGAGCAGTCTGGCTGTGGTGGTTGCCATTTGTCTGATGCCCAGGGTGATGCACATTCTTCACCTTTCATCTCTGGGGCCTGTGGCTCTGGCCAGGCTCAGCTCCTTATCACAATCTGTTGGAAGGTTGTTTTTTACCTTTTTTTTTTTTTTAAAGAAAGAGTTTTGTGGGGTTTTTTTGTTTGTTTTGTTTTGTTTTGACTCTGGCTTTCTTCTTACGTGTTTGAGGACTTAGTTTTCTCTTTTACTATTGTGACCAAGATGCCATACGAAATGTTACATAATGTTCAGCCCCTTCAGAAAATGTTTGGCTCTTCAGCCATTGCCACGGTGTCATGAGGTACTGAAATGACAAGTGTGTCATTGTTTGTTCTTATGCTTTAGAAATTTGACATTTGGATGGGATGGACCATCTTGGAGGTTACTCACAGCGCTTAAGTTGTTATGTCTGGAAGCTGAAGAATTGTAAGTTTCACGTGTGTCGGTCATGAGCAGAACTTAAACCTGGACATAACCCAGGGGCTTCTTTTAGCTTAAGTTCAAACAGTCAGCCTGGGAGGAGGAAGATATGCCATTGTGTACTGGGTGGCTTATTCTCTATGGAACTTGCCCGCGTGGTGAGTGTTTCACTTCTAAGTTTTTGCCATTTCTGGAATTCTGGTTTTAGAGTCATAATCAGAGTACGTGGCCCTGAGAACTTTTTATTCTCAGGTATTTTTCCCTGGTGACCTGCACTGTTTAGAGGAAATATTTAAAAAAAAAATGCATCGTCACTGTTCAGGGGGAAGCCTCTTGAGTACCGAGTTTTCCCCTGGGGACAAATCGCTTCTTGGGGAGCTATATCCTCCCCGGGGGCAGATCCAGACCCCTGCTAAAGGAGAGGCCTTTCCATGGGGGAGGCGGGTAGAGGAGCCCCCGGTGTAGACACACGTCCTGGTTCGGCTCCCTAACATTACCTTCAGGCTGCCAGTCCCTCCCCCAGCACGGAAAGGACTGTCCGCTTATGTGGCTGCGTGTTGCCTGGTCCAGGCAGCTCCTTCAGCCCGGGTCCACTACTTGGCAAAAGCTCAGGTGAGAGAAACCACTTGAAAAGAGGACTTGCTGAAGATGGTGACCCGGTCCTTGAGCAGTTGGGAGGACTAAATGAATTGATGCGTAGAGATAACCCTTAGCATTGTGCCTCCAAGTAGCTGGTACTCATTCAATGGCAGCTGTTAAGATATGGCTTACCTCTTTTTCTGCAGGGACTCTGGGAGAAAACTTACTCCCCAGTCTCAACAGCAGAAAGAGTTGTGTTCATTCTCAGCAGATGGGGTGTTTTTATTTTACAGTCATTGTGGATTCTGTGTCTGATACGTTTCTTTCTCTTTATTGTTTGCTAGAAAACTCAGAGGCAAGTCTGTGGTTCCTTCAAATGTGTAGCATTTTAAGGCATGCAGTGTATCCTGGTTGTATCTTCTCCTTCTTCCTTAATATTCCTTTGTCTTGTTTTCCTGTCCATTCATCTCACCTGTTTCATCTCCTGGTGCTCATGTTAAGGGTCTTTAAGTCCTTCTTGGAAAAAGGTGTAAGTCCTTAGGCACATACCTCAAATTAAATAAAACAACAGGCTGTTTCTCAAAGGTCACCCTTGGACCGCTTTTCCCCCTTTGATTTCCTCCTAATGGTCTGGAGTGGTGTGGCAGAAGAAGCCCAAGGCCGGGATTCTGCCAGCTCTGTGTTTGCTGTTTCCACCTCTCCTGAGCTTTGTCACTTAGGGTGGGTTCTTTACTGTTCCCAATTCTCAGTTGCTTTGTGTCTAACATGGGGATAATAATGCTTTCTTTGCTAGGTAATTGTGAAGATTCAATTAGATGATTGTTTTATATGAAACACTGTGCCTAGCATCTAGTGAATATATGGAATAGCATATAGCATATCTTCCTTCCTTCCTTCCTTCCTTCCATCCATCCATCCATCCATCCATCCATCCATCCTTCCTACCTTCCTTGAAAACTTAGCTACTCCTGAGGTTTCAGTTGTAATCTCTAAAGCTCAAGACCTTGAAGACTTTATTCCCTGTGTGGGTTGCCAGCTGTTCTGAATTTCTAAGTGACTTGTGTATACTTCAACTCTGATGTGACACTTGTCACCTTACTTTTCCCTTCCTAAGCCATTCCACTTCAGATTCTCTGCATCCAGAATCTCTTCCTCCACTCTCTTCCTCTCTGCTTAGTGCTGCTTTCTAGCATGTAGTTTTGGCTCTGCCACCTTCTGGTTCAGATCTTGCTGTGGCTCCCTCTTGCTTACCCTGAAGCACTTACGTTCTCTGCCTGCAGAAAGTTGGCCCCACTTGCCCCCTCAACCCCTTTTCCTACATATATTTGGATTATAAAATGGGAATGATCTGTGTGTACAGGAAGGCTTCATCGTGGATTCCTCCTTCCATCTTGAGAGCATTTTACTTTGTGAAACATGTTCTGTCCAGTTTACCATAGTTTAGGAAAGTCACTTGAAGAGAAGGAAAATTCCTCTACCTTTTTCCTTAGTCCTTAGTCCCTTTGGCCGGAACTCACCTTCCTGTTCTGTCATCTGCTCTGTTTCCGTGGCTGGTGGACATGACTCCACTTAACTACGTGCCAGACACAGGATTGCGATGACAACACAGTTCAGCGCCTGCCCTCAAAAGAGCGGCAGTTGCCTTGATTCTTATTCTCGCTTGTTCCTCCTTCTTGCTTCTATACCTTGTCTGCTTCAACACAGGAGCTGCATGTGGGGGGAGGTTAGGGAATCTGTGGGGGGAGGTTAGGGAGGTTAGTGAGTTTTATTATGCTTCTAGAAAAACAGGAGAAGAGTTTGTGTGTTGTGTTGAGGTGTAAAAGCCTTCTTTACTTTTTGAGAGCCTGCTGACATTATGTTACTGAACAATTTGGTTCTAGTACATGCTGGAAAAAAATACTTCTTGGAGAAATCATTTCAGATACAAATGAGAAGAGAAGTTTGGACATAGCCCAGAAAATATGCCATTATTTCATAGAGGAGACCAATGCAGTGCTTCAAAAGGTATGCTTCTAGAATATCGCATTCTTCTGCTAAAGAAGTGTTTTGATTAAGAAGTTACCTATTTTGTACTTGCTGTTACGCCTTATTCGGGCATTGTTTGTTTGATGCTTAAATAGATGAACACTGGTGTAATTTCTGGGGTTTTTTTGACCGTTAGCATTGTGTTTATATTGGATAAATTTTCAAGTACTCTTTTTTTAAAAAATATTTTTATTTAGCAAATGTTTTAATTAAATGAGAAATCAACTCATTTTAATGAAAACATTACTGGGATTGAAAAATAATTTTAATGAATCTTCAAGACCTTATGCTAGGTGAAATAAACTAGAATACAAAAAGACACATACTGTATGATTCCACTTGTATGAGTTATCTAGAATGGGCAAATTCAGAGTCTACAGAAAGTAGAGTAGAGGTTACCAGGGGCTGGGGAGTTAGTGTTAATAGGGTACAGAATTTCCGTTAGAGACGATGGAAAACTTGTGGGGTGGGTGGTGGCGATGCTCACATAACATTGTGAGTGTACCTAGTACCGTTGAAGTATACACTGAAAAGTGGTCAGAATGGTCACTTTTATGTTTATGTATATTTTACTGCAAGAAAAAAATAATTTTAAAATGCTTTCCAGGTTTCTCATATGAAAGATGAAGAAGTGGCTTCGGTAAACCAACTAACTTTGGTAGAAACATTGTGGACAGAAGAGCTAAAGATTCTGCAGGCCTCTGCTCTGATTCTAAACAGTTTGCAAACACCTTTTAGGTAACTTCACCTGATGCGTTTGATCACCTCCTGTGGTGGGTGTGACTTCTTAACCAGTTTTAAAGGTTTATTTTGTATAGAATCATTTACAGTCACCGAGTGGTTTCTATTAAACCATTGTATACTTCTCTTGTTCCTTCTGCTTTTCTTTGTTTGTGGGATGGAGCGGTGGCCGCTTCTCAGACGATGCAGGACATCTGCAGGGGGCAGGGCAGGCTCTGTGGACTCTAGAGTATAAGCGATGATGGATGTGTCATCCTCCCAGCACCTCAAAAAATATTCTCAAAACAGACCCCAGTTTTGTAGAAAGAAGTGGGAGGAAAGCACTGCTCTGTAAGGAGAGAGGGGGCCTGAGGGGCTCTGTGTGTGGCCTTTCCCTGGGTGTCCCACTTCCCCGCTGACTCAGCAGCTGTAAAAGGGCAAGAAGTTGTGCTTTTATTCTGCTCTGATACTTTGGTTTAGAGATGTGCTGGTGGTGGGTGGCTTCGGGTGGGGAACAGGGTAGGTGGTGTGGGGCAGGCCCCAGTCCTGGCCGGGCTTGGCCCCCAGCTGCACTGAACTTGAGCAAATCACTTTGTATTTTCCCTTCTGATTTCCAATTTGAAGAGGAGATTGTGGACCCCCTATGTAGAAGGGCCAGGGACTGGGACTCGTGTGGGGTAGAGGCCCAGGGGATGCCTGCCACCTTTCACTTTCTTGCCCTTGCTCACCAGGAACCAGGGAGCTGGCTATAGGACGGACAGTCGGGGCACCTTCTGTGAGTTTGATTGAATGAATGGAAGTTCAGTCATTAAATACAGGAGAGAGTAGGGCCTGCCTCAGCAGACCTCCCTCTGTGGTTTTCCAGAATGTGTTTAAGTCTCTTGTCAGACATGTTCCTTTCCCAGTCTCTTTGTGGTAGGTGTTTAACTTTTTTTTTTTAATGTATATTTATTTTTGAGAGAGAGAGAGAGAGAGAGAGAGAGAGAGAGAGAGAGAGTGTTCAAGTCGGGGAGGGGCAGAGAGAGAGGCAGACACAGAAACCAAAGCAGGCTCCAGGTTCTGAGCTGTCAGCACAGAGCCCGATGCGGGGCTTGAACTTACAAACTGTGAGATCACGACCTGAGCTGAAGTCAGATGCTTAACCAACTGAGCCACCCAGGCACCCTGGTGTTTAACACTTTTATTCTGCTGCTTTTCTATCATTTTCATGGGGGCTTGGGAGGTATAGGAGATGAATTTTTGTGCTCAGTTGGTCATTTTGAATTAAGAGTCTGTCTGTCTTTCTTTCTCTTTCTTTCTTTCTTTCTCTCTCTTTCTTTCTTTCTTTCTTTCTTTCTTTCTTTCTTTCTTTCTTTCTTTCTTTCTTTCTTTCCTTCTTTCATAATTATAAAAGCATTTTAGGCTATTGACTTTCCTCTGACTGTGGTTTGTATGTAAAGTGTGTACTAATTAGTACTTTTTTAGTACTCAGAGTTTGGCTCAGGATTTACACTTTTCATAGCGGTTTCCTGCCTGTCAGTCAACAGTCAGAACCACTGGGAGGGAGTCGGAGCAGGTGTTCTATCATCGGTCACAGGAGCAAAATATGCCCTTACTATAAAAACTGGACTGCCATCGGAACATAAGACAATAACGTTTACTAAATATTAGCATTGCTAGATGCGAGGTGCTGTGCTCAGGCCTTGCTTGGTATGCAGAGTTTTAAGCCTCACGGTTACCCTGTGTCATGAATAGAAAGGGGAAGAAATTGCCTAAGATTGCACACTTAGCGTGCTACAGAGAAAATGCCCACTCACCCTGCCCTCGGAGGGGTCAGGGTCCACAGCGTGGGTGTGTTCATGTCCGGGATTTACTGTGTCCTGCTGTGGGGACGGAGTTAATGCGCGTGGGCCTGCCGCCTCTTCGTCAGTGGGCGTCAACATGCCATTCAGGAGGCCCGGGCCTTCTGGCGCAGCTCTAGCTCAGCGGGGACGTCTGCTGGATTCTGGGGCTCAGTGTGGGCAAACTGACCTAAAGCCATGGTCATATGTGAGCTTCCATCCTTACTCTTTCCCTGTTTATCCTTTTCAGAACCAGGGAGAGAAGAGGGGATGTTCCCTCCACAGCCCTCAACAGTCCTTGGCCCCAGGGGACGGACACGTGGAGAAGTCTTTCAGGGGCTGGAGCTGTGGAGGGACCGCCAGGCCTCTTCAAGGTTGGGGACGGACTGGGGCCAGATGGTGTAGGGGCTGCCCCTCTCAGGCATCGGTGCCCAGAGTTCGGTTTTCCCTTCCAGGTCTTGTGCTTCCCCAGCACTGGAATTCCTGTCCTTGAGTGCAACCCAAACAAATGGGACCCGCTCACCTCAGGAGACAGTGTCTGGACGTCTTTCCTTGTTCTTATATGCAGTTGGTGTTGACTTTATTTTTAAGTAGCTGCAGTGGGGAGCACCTGGGTGGCTCAGTTGGTTAAGTGTCTGACTCTGGATTTTGGCTTAGGTCATGATCTCGTGGTTCGTGGGATCAAGCTATGCAGTGGATTCTGTGCTGACAGTGTGGAGCCTGCTTGGGATTCCACCCCCCCCCCCCCCCACCCTTACTTCCCTGTTCACTCGCATGCACCTGCATGCTGCAGTGTGTTTCAGGATGTGCTATACCAGGAGTCCGCAAACATTAACGGGGGCAAATAGTAAATATTTTAAGCTTTCTGAGCCATACAGCCTTTGTCCCGACTATTGCACAGCGTATCGACAATATGCAAACAAGTTGAATGACTGTGTTCCAGTAAGACTATTTACAAAGACAGGTCTTGGGCCATAGTTTGCTGACCCCTGTGCTATACCATACTTATTTTTCCTGTCCCCTATTAGTGGACATTTAGGACCTATATATATTAATATATTTACACACACATACGTATGAACTCCTACGTGAAGGTGCTTTTACACCTTTCAAAAACAAAGCCACCCTTTAACATGAACATTGTTGTGCTCTAGTTGTCCAGTGATTAGAAAAACAATAGACAATGAGAAAAATCATTACTCACGCATTTACAAATGAGAAGTATTTCATCATCCACACCAGATCTATGTGTATTTGGAAAACTGCAGAATAAGACTTTTCCATTTATAGACCATGCTTGGCATATGTGTGCCGCAGACTTCTTGCAAAGTCTGCAGAGCCTGTGGCTCCTTGTAGGGCAGTCTGGCCCACAGGGTAAACCACTGTTGACTGTGACACACAGCTGCCTTTGAGGGCCGGCAAAGCCAGGCTCTTTCCCAGTGGCATGATTTTCTTCCTTCTTTAGTTTACACGCCCGCCCCCGCCCCCCCCCCCCATTTTCTTCTTCCCCCTTTTCTGTTTGCTCCTCACTATTGCCTTGGGCATGCCTGAGGTCACTTACTAACACACCTTCTCCTCGTTGGTATCTGGTTACAGAGTTTGTGGGTGGTAAGCCTCCCACTGGCCGACTTGGCCTGAGGGGACAGACATTGAGAAGTTAAGGACTATTTGTCCTTATCTTTCAAGCTAAAAACAGCAGATGCACTCCTCTGACTGGGGCACTTTAAGTGCTTCTGCCTGAAGGTGGAGACTGGTAATGACCTAGGCAATCAGAGCTGTAATTCTGTGAAAATGGCTCTCACTGAACCACCTAGACACGTCCTGAGAGGGCCCATCAAGGCACAGAAATAGGAAATTTATTTTAGCTCTTCAGTTGGCAAACAACAGCCACATTCTGTGTGATAGATTAATGTTGGGTAGTAGGTCTTATCTGGAGGAGCAAAGAATAATAAAACCCAAATCGGTTTGTGAGCTGACATTTGTTTGTTTGTTTGTTTGTATTTTCAAGATTTTTTTAACGTTTATTTATTTTTGAGACAGAGAGAGACCGAGCATGAACGGGGGAGGGTCAGTGAGAGAGGGAGACAGAGGTCCGAAACACGCTCCAGGCTCCGAGCTGTCAGCACAGAGCCCGACGCGGGGCTCGAACTCACGGACCACGAGATCATGACCTGAGCCCAAGTCGGACGCTTAACCGACTGAGCCACCCAGGCGTCCCAGTCAGCTGACATTTGAATATAGAGTTTTGTCAGGAATGCCACCCTGTTGGAAAAGGGCCTGTTTGTTTGTTTTTTACAGATCCAGAAAGTCATTTGTGAATTAAAGGGAATGGAACATTAAGAGGGAACAAGCAGGCCTGAAGCATTTTTCTATAAGCCTGCCAGTGTGCCACACACAACCTCCCCGTGTGCCACATTCTTCAGTGCCATGCGCTCTCTCTGGGGCTGTTCTGTTTCACCTTTCAGAGGGCAGCTCCCTATCTTTGTTCTGTTACAACCTTTCCTTGAGGGGATATTTCATTTACTTTCCTTCTATAAACTATTCCGTAGTTTTAACATTAGGCTGCAAGTACATTTGTAAAAACTCACAGAAACATAGTAGAATTTAATAAAAATGCAAGGTTACCATTCACACCCACTGGGACACCTGTAATAAAAAAGATAACGTGTTGAGGATGCGGGGAGATCGGAACCCTGTGGCTCTGCTGATGGAAAGTAAGACGGTGTGGCTGCTTGGAAACCCAGTCTGGCAGTTCCTAAAAGTTTTAGCACAGAGTCTTTCTGACTTAGCAATTCCCCTCTCTCCCAAGAACTAAAAACACATGTCCACACAAAAGCGTGAACATGAATGTTCATAGCACTTGTATAGCAGTGTTTGTCACAGCATTATTCATAACAGCTCCAACCCAAATGTTTATCCGCAGATGAATGGATAAATAAAATGAGATTTTTCCATGAAATGAAGTATCATTCACGCACAGAAGGGAACAAAGTACATACATGCTGCAACATGGATGAGACTTAAAAACATGGTAAATGAAAGAACCCCGTCACAAAAGACCACATATAATTGTATTTGTATGAGGGGTGCCTGGGTGGCTCAGTCAGTTGAACGTCCCACTTTGGCTCAGGTCATGATCTCATGGTTTGTGAGTTCATGCCGGGCTCTGTGCTGACAGTGCAGAGCCCGCTTCAGATCCTCTGTCCCTCTCTCTCCTCCCCTCCCCCTCTCATGCGTGTATGCTCTCTTTCTCAAATATTTGAAATAAAATTGTACTTATATGAAATGTGCAGAAAGGGCAAATCTAGAGCAATGGGAAGTAGATTAGTGGCTGCCGTGGGTGGGCCAGGGTGCTGGAGGGATTGGGTGGTGGCCATTGTGTCATACATCTAAAATGGGTCAGTGGTGTAGCCTGTGAGTTACACGACAATAAAGCTCTTTTTTAAAGAAATAAGGTTAGTGCCTAATTGGTGAGGATTCTACCCCTCTTCTCACAGCTCATGCTTTTTCCAGGAAGGTCCAGAGTCTGCCAATCGGACAACGACAGTAATGGTCTGATAGCATTAGACCTTCTGCCCATGCACTGCATTGGTCACCTTGTTTATCCTTACCACGACCGGTTGAGTTCATATTTTCCTGATTCTGTAAATGTAAAGGGAAAGTTATTGCTGAGGTCACACAGCTGCTGAGTGGCAGAGCTAGGATTCAAACCTCGGTCGGCCTCTAGATGCCACGCTTGTAGGGTTCATACAGCAAAGACCGTGTCTGTGAAAGATGCACCCGGGCTTAGGGAGGCACCTGCTCTCACCTGATCAGGACTTTGTAAAATTAAAGTGTGGCTGGATCAGCCAGCCTTGGAAGAACATTTGGAGGGCTGAGATGCTACAGTCCTGCCTATTTAAATCCCCTCTCTCCTGGGCCTTTCTCTTTCTGCCATCTTGGAACCTGTGGAGGCCTTCTGGGAACAGGGCTCCTGGAAGGCTGTGGTCCACAGCCATTTTTTGCTGGCTGTAAGTGGGGTCTCTGGAACCAGAGGGATCACACATGTCTTCTTAAAAGGTGTTTATGCTCGAGATGAAACTGAATTCTATCTAGGCAAGAGAGGTGCTTATGTGTACAAAGCAAAGAACAACAACACTCCTGGTGGCAAACCAAATAAAACCAGAGTAATCTGGGAAATGGTACCTCACGCTCATGGAAACAATGGCATGGTCCGTGCCAAATTCCGAAGTAACCTTCATGCTAAAGCCATTGGCCACAGAATCCGTGTGATGCTGTACCCCTCAAGGATTTAAACTGACTGAAAAGTAAATAAAGGTGTAGATTTGTTCTCTTGAATGAATGAATGAATCAATCATTCAATCAATCAATCAATCAATCAATCACTCCTCTCTCTCCTGGCATCTACTTTTGATATGCAAAGAGACTCCTCAGTATATATATGGAAGAGCAGACTCATGGCCCAGGGAACCTGTCTTCAAAAATGACAACTCATTCCCTGAGAGGAGGTGTTATTAACCACACTTTATAGAAGAGCAGACAGGTTCAGAGAAGGGAGGTAACATGGCCAAAGGTATTTAGCAGGTGAGTGCAGAGCCATGTGGGGTGGGGGTAGGGCTACCTTTCATCACACATAGTTGAAACCTTTATTAAGAGCATGCTTGATGCGCAGAAGACACAAATAGACACTTTTCCAAAGAAGACATCCAGATGACTAACAGACAGATGAGAAAGTGCTCAATACCATTCATCAGGGAAATACAAATCAAAACCACAATGAGATACCACCTCACATCTTTCAGAATGGCTAAAATGAACACCTCAGGCAACAACAGATGTTGGTGAGGATGTGGAGAAAGAGGAACCCTTTTGCACTGCTGCTGGGAATGTAAACTGTTGCAGCCACTCTGAAAAACAGTATGGAAATTAAAATCGAAAAAATTAAAAATCGAACTATCCTACGACCCAGCAATTGCACTACTAGGTATCCAAGGGATACAGGTGTGCTTTGGAAAGAACCCAAATGTCTATCAACTGATGAATGGATAAAGAAGATGTGGTGTATATATATATATATATATATATATATATACACACACACAACGGAATAATACTACTCAACAATCAAAAAGAATGAAATCTTGCCATTTGCAACAAGGTGGATGAAACTAGAGTGTATTATGCTGAGTGAAATAAGTCAGAGACAAATATGATTTGGCTCGTGGAATTTGGGAAACACGACAGATGAACGTAGAGGAAGGGAAGGAAAAATGAGATAAAAACAGAGGGAGGAAAACCATAAGAGACTCTTAAATACAGAGAACAAACTGAGGATTGCTGGAGGGGAGGTGGGTAGGGGGATGGGCTAAAGGGGTGATGGGCATTAATTAAGGAGGGCACTTGTTGGGATGGGAACTGGGTGTCCCATGTAAGTGATGAATCACTGGGTTCTACTCCTGAAACTACTGTATGTTAACTAACTTGAATTTAAATAAATAAAAACAAAAACAAAGAGCATGCTTGTCAGGATGTGGTGCCCTGACTGTGGCATCAGAAACTGCCAGGTTGTACAAGCACATCCCAAAGCCACAGAATCAGAATCTCTAGGGGTAGGTCCAGGAATATGTATTTTCAGTGAGCCCCCAGGTGATTTGAGTGCCCACTGTTTGTGAACCGTGGATGTAGAGATTCCAATGGGAGAGGCCTGTGCCCCCTCACCCTCCACTCTCAGGTGCTGGTTCCAAGGTTTTAGTCGGTCCTTTCATGACTCTTGATGTCAATTGTTAGGCAGACCCCAGATCACATGAATCCAAGGCTGGGCCTCTGAATACATGCACTGTCCGAGGGTTGGGGTGACAAGAGGTCCTTGAGCTGATCCACTCAGACCCCTTATTTTGTGGTTGCAGCCCAAGAGGTTGAGGAGCTTGCTCTGGACTTTGGATTTAGCATCAGAATCCAGATTTTCTTTCTGATTCTGGTAGACCTTTCACTGTCCTGCATTCTCTTTCCATAGTATAAGATCTAGACATTCTCTCAAACGGACTCCCCAACTATGTTCTTCTAGAAAAGAATCAGAGTGGGGAGCGAGGCAGTTGGAGGAGAAAGGGAAGGGGTAGCCCAGCCCAGGAAGAGGTGGAGAAGGAACAGGAGCAGAGACCCCACCCTGCTCCAGCCTTCTTGTTCTCATTGGATTTTCCCATCTAATTTCACAATAGCTCTATGAGGCAGGTGTTACATGTTTTATAGGTGAAGAACCTGAGGCATAGAGGGGTCACGTGACCTGTCCCATCAAACAGTTGGAATTAGAACCCAGGAGTCTGAATTCAAGTCTGTCACTTGTCAGTTACACCTTGTTTCTGCCTCCAAAGATGGGCAGCCTCCAGTGCAGGGTGGGGAGAGACCCCCTTAAACTTAAAGTGGTTTGTTTTGTCTTGGTTTGTTTGCATGTTCTTTAAAAAAAAATTTTTTTTAATGTTTATTTATTTTTTAGAGAGAGTGCAAGCTGGGGAGGAATAGAGAGAGAAGGAGACAGAGGATCCGAAGCAGGGGCTCAAACCCACGAACTGTGAGAATATGACCTGAGCCCAAACCAAGAATCGAATGCTTAACTGACTGAGCCACCCAGGCGCCCCTTGTTTGCATGTTCTAGTAGGCAACTTCATCGACCTCACTGGGCAGACTGGCGACAAGGAGCCAGGCAGCACCCAGGTGCGAGGAGAAAGAGGGCCTCCCCAGAGGTCCCTGTGGGCCAAGCCCTCTCCCTGTGGTTTTCAGTTTTACAGCCCCCTCCCTGTCACTGTGAAACCCACATCCCGCGAAAGGCGGAGGGGCGAGAAGGGGTGAGTGATCCTGCAAGGCAGCCTTCTCCCATTTCAGAGAAACTCTGTCCTGGGGGTGGGGCCCTCCTTTTGATCTCAAGGGTCCCTGTCTGGTTATGCAGCTGTGGTGATGGGCGTTTAGAAGCCTTCTGCTAGTGCCAGAAGATAAGGCAAAAACCAAGACTGTGCAGGGTCTATGTAGCAATTATTAGGACAGTAAATTAAATTCCCGTTCTAACTTTGCCCTTGTCACAAAGGGAGACTTCAAAGTGCTCAAGATAAAAGGGAATTCAGGATGTCACTGACCCGGGGAGTGGGGGGAGGGTCAAGTCTAAGGGTGTGTTTGTCACAGGCAGCATAGATCTTTGCTTCTTGGGTCCTCCCAAGCCTCAGACAGTAAGGGTCGCAGCAGCCGTTTGAAGTCCCTGGGAACCACATGTGCAGCGTTTTTAAAAACTTTATTGAGGAATAATTAACAAATACATTTGTACAGACAAAGTGTACACGTGATGATTTGATATATGTACACATTACAGAACAATCACCAAGAGCAAGATAATGAACACATCCATCAGCTCACAGTCAACAGTTAACTTTGTTTTCTTTCTGTGGTGGGAATGCTTAAGATCTGCTCTCAGTGACTTTCAAGTAAACAATACCATAGCATTAAATTAACTAGCCAACATGCTGTATGTTAGTTCCTCTGCACTTACTGTTCCTAATCTGAAAAATTGTACTTTTGGATGTATGCCGCTCCCATTTTCCCCTGGCCCTTGCAACCACCGTTCTATTCTCTGTTTCTGTGAAACTGCCCCCCCTCCCCTTAATAGTCCACATGTAAGTGATATCATACAGTATTTGTCTTTCTCAGTCTGGCATATTTCACTTAGCAAAATGCCTTCCAGGTTGATCCATGTAGTTGCAAACGGCAGGATTTCCTTCCTTTCTGTGGCTGAATAATATTCCATTTTCTTTTACCCATTCATCAGTTGAAGGACACTTTACCTTGTTTCCTCATCTTGGTTATTTTGAATAATGCTGTAATGAAGGTGGGTGTGCAGATATCTCTTTGAGATACTGATTTCAATTCCTTTGGATATATATACGCAGGACTGGGATTGCTGGATGGTATGGTAGTTCAATTTAAAATTTTTTAAGGAATCATACTGTTTTCCATAATGGCCATACCAATATACGTTACCACTAACAGCATATAAGTGTCCTTCTTCTCCACATCTTCACCATCATTGATATCTTTTGTCTTTTTGATAATAGCCATCCTATTAGATGATATCTCATTGTGGTTTTGATTTGCATTTTTCTGATGATTAGTGATGTTAAGCACCTTTCAAATACCTTTTGTATGTCTTTTTTTTGTGTGTGTGTGTGTGTGGGGGGGGAAATGTCTGTTCATGTCCTGTGCCCATTTTTAAATTGTATTATCTGCTTTTTTGCTATTGTATGAATTCTTTGTATGTTTTGGATATAAACCCCTTATCATATATATGGTTTGCAGATATTTTCACCCATCCTGTAGGTTGCCTTTTCAATTCATTGATTGTTTCCTTGCTATGCAGAAACTCTTTAGTTTGATGCTGTTTCACTTGTTTATTTTAGTTTTTGTGCCTGTACTTTTGATGTTTTATCCAAGAAATTGTTGCCAAGACCTGTGCCAAGGATCTTTTCTGCTATGTTTTCCTCTAGGAGTTTTATGGTTTCAGGTCTTACATTTAAATCTTTGATCTATTTTGAGTTAATTTTTGTGAGTGGTGTAAGATAGGGGTCCAGTTATACTCTTTTGCATGTGGATATCAGGTTTTCCCAGCACCATTTATTGAAGAGAATATCATTTTCCCATTGTGTGTTCTTGGTGCCCTTGTCAAAATTTAGTGGACCATGTATGTGTGGGTTTTTGTCTGGGCTCTCTATTCTCTTCCACTGGTTTATATGATGGTTTTTTATGCCAGTACCACACTATAGTTTGTAATATAGCTTGAAATCAGAAAGTGTGATACCTCCAACTTTGTTGTTGTTGTTGCTGTTGTTGTTGTTGTTCTCCTCCTCCTCTTCCTTCTCCTCCTCCTTCTCCTCCTCCTCCTCCTGCTTCTCCTGCTTCTCCTCCTCCTCCTCCTTCTCCTCCTTCTCCTCCTTCTCCTCCTTCTCCTCCTCCTCTTCCTTCTCCTTCTCCTTCTTCTTCTTCTTCTCCCCCTCCTCCCCCCCTCCTCTTTTCTTCTTCTTCTTCTTCTTCTTCTTCTTCTTCTTCTTCTTCTTCTTCCTTCTTTTTTTTTCAGGATCTCCTTGGCTATTTAGGGCCTTTTGTAGTTCCCTACAAATTTTTGTATACTTTTTTCTGTTTCTGTGAATGATACCATTAGGATTTTGATAAGTATTGCATTGAATCTGTAGATAATTTGGGTAGTATGAACATCTTCACAGTATTAAGTCTTCTAATCCACGAACATGGGATATCTTTTCATTTATTTGTATCTTCTTTAATATCTTTCATCAGTGTCTTAGAGTTCTAAGTGTACAGGTTCTTCATCTCCTTGGTTAAATTTATTCCTATGTATTTTATTGTTTTTGATGCTGTTATAAGTGGGATTGCTTTTTAAATTCATCTTTCAGATAGTTTGTTGTTAATGTATAGAAATACAATGGATTTCTGTACATTGATTTTATATTCTGCTTCTTTACTGAACTTATTTATTCATCCTAACAGATTTTTGGTGGAGTCTTTAGGGTTTTCTATATATAAGCTCATGTCATCTGCAAACAGATAATTTTACACCTTCCTTTCTGATTTCATGCCTTTATTTCTTTTTCTTGCCTAAATGCTATGGCTGGGACTTCCAGTACTATGTTAAATGGAAATGGCGAGAGTAAGCATCCCTGTCTATTCCTGATCTTAGAGGAAAAGATTTTTAACTTTTCATCACTGTATATGATATAGCTGTGGGCTCGTCATATATGACTTCTATTATGCTGAGGAACACTTCCTCTATACTTAATTTGTTGAGAGGTTTTTTTTTTTTTTTTTATGAAATGATGTTGAATTTTGTCAGATGCTTTTTCTGCATCTTTTAAAATGATCATATGATTGTTATCCTTCATTCTATTCATGTGGTGTATCACATTTATTGATTTGCTTATGTTCAACCATCTTTGCATCCCATGGATGAATCCCTCTTGATCATTTTAATCCCTGTGATCATTTTAATGTGTTCTTGCATTTGATTTGCTAGTATTTTGTTGAGGATTTTTGCATTCATCAGGGATATTGGCCTTTAATTTTCTTTGCTTGTGGTATCCTTCAGTATCACAGTCATGCTGGCTTCATAGAATGAGTGTGGAAGTGTTCCTTCCTCTGTAATTTTCTAGAAGAGTTTGAAAAGGATTGGTATTAATTTTTCATTAAATTTTGGTAGAATTCACCTGTGAAGCCATCTGGTCCTGGGCTTTTATTTGTTGGGAGATTTTTGATTACTAATTCAATCTCCTTGCTTGTTATGGGTCTGTTCAAATTTTCTATGACTTCATGATTCAGTCTTGGTAAGTTGTGCGTTTCTAGGAATTTATCAATTTCTTATAAATTATGTAATTTGTTGGCATATAATTGATCACAGTTGCGTCTTATGATCTTTAGAATTTCTGTTGTATCAGTTATAATGTCTTTCTTTCACTTACAATTTTATTGAGGTCTCTCTTTTTTTTCTTAGTCTACCTAAATGTTTGTCAATTGTTTATCTTTTCAAAAAGCCAACCCTTAGTTTTGTTGATATTTTCTATTGTTTCTCTAGTTCTCATGTCATCTATTTCTGTTCTAATCTTTATTATTTCCTTCCTTCTGCTAACTTTGGGCTTAATTTGTTTTTCTTTTTCTGGTTCTCTGAGGTGTAATGATAGGTTGTCTATGGGTTGGATGCATCCCATAAGTTTTGGTGTGTTGTGATTCCATTTTTGTTTGCCTCTAGATATTTTTTGATTTCTTTCACCCATTGGTTGTTAAGAAGTGTGTTGTTGAAATTTCACATATTTGTAAACTTTCCAGGTTTCTTCTTGTTACTGATTTCCAGTTTCAAACCATTGCAGTTGGAAAAGATATTTCATAAGATTTCAATGTTATTAAATTTCTTAATCCTTATTTTGTGACTAAAATATGATTTATTCTGGACAATGTTTTATTTGTGCTTGAGAAGAATGTGTTTTCTGCTGCAGTTGGATGGAATGTTCTATGTATGTCTATTAGGTACATTTGGTTTAAAGTGTCATTCCAGTCTGTTATTTTCTTACTGATTTTTTTTCTTTGGATGATCTACCTACTGTTAAAAGTAAGGTATTGAAGTTCCCTAATATTACTACATTGCTGTCTATTTTTGCTTTCAGATCTATTAATAATTATTTAATATATTTAAGTTTTCCAATATTGAGTTCAGAGATGTTTACAGTAATTATATCCTTTTGGTGAATTGACCCCTTTAGCATTATATAATGATTTTCTTTGTCTCTGTTACAGTTTTTGACTTAAAGTCTGTTTTATCTGATGTAAGTATAGCTATCCCTACTGTCTTTTGATTTTCATTTGCACAGAATATCTTTTTCCACCATTTACTTTAAGCCTGCAAGTGTCCTTAAAGCTCAAATGAGTTTCTTATGAACAGCATTTAGTTGGGTTTTGTTTTTTTAATCCATTTTTTGTCTATTCATTCTTTGCCTTTAATTATAGAATTTAAACCATTTACATTTAGAGTGATTACTGATAGGTAAAGACTATCACCATTTTGTTAATTGGTTTCTATTGTTTTGTGGTTACTTTGTTCCATTCTTCCTCTCTTGCTGTGTTTCTTTGTGAGCTGATGATTTTTTTTTTACAGTGGTATGCTTTGATTCCAT